TGAGAATACAGATATCTCAGGTTTCTGCAAAAAAATGCTTCAGAAAATATTATCTATCAAAGTTACGCCTGAGCTGAAAGCGAGACTACAGTGTTAGTGGTAAAGAGAACCTAGGGTGGCTAGACTAATATTTACTACTGCACAACCCCAGGGTCACTTATTTATTCTATTAGTAACAGCTTTGGTCACTCAAATAGTCACACACTTTCATCAGTTTCAAAATAAGAAACAAAGATGAAAAGGAGTGACCTCTAACCCATTAAATTTGGGTTCAGTATCACCAAGCCTCACTGCTTAGATAGTAAGTTACAACTATCCACGTTCTGCAGACCTTCTCCCAGATTTCTGATCAGGGTTAACTCATGACAAAAGTTTTTCCCAACGTATTCTCACAATTGCTTTCTGGGTTCCAAACAGCAGATTTACAAAAGATAAACAACTTTAATAAAATAGGAAATTTTCATGTAAGTTCTAGTCTCTGGAGATAGAGTCATCTGTCATCAATAAAAGCACAATTCATATATTGCCCGCGATAACTACTGGTGCACCTCGCACATCCCACTTTGACACAGCATGTTTTTGTCTCTTTATTCCCCATCATCTCTCCTCAGATTTATTTTAAACACCTCCAGCTGATGTCTGGATACAAGGACACTTGAAATGATATCAACAAGCATATTCAATAATTTATTAATTTTTTTATGACATTGGTCAGAAAATGCTCATCTGCTGTTTTTCAGCTTTTGAAATTTAATGACTTGCTATCGTAGAGCAGGAATTAATTTAAAAAAAAAAAAAGTAGAAGATTTATAGCCTTTCTGCAAAACTAACAAATTTGTATTATTCACCTATCAGCCTCTTTGTTACAATGAGGACAAGGTCAATATGACTATTATTAGATTAATTCTGTGAGGCTATATAGCAAAGAAGCCTTTAAATATTGATGCTTAGTGGAGGAAAAAGGCTCACATATTGAAAAAAAAAATGGAACAAAGGACAAAACACTATTTCCCTAGAGAATCTAATAAAATAAATAGGATTCCAACACTGGTATGTCTGAAACCTTCCAGTGATTTCCAACATGTAAGGTTATGAGCAATTTGGTCTGTTCACTCCATTCTCTGGTCCTGCTATGTCCCCCTAAGTTGGTGCAACAGCCAGCATTGTTGGTGGTCTGTCTGAAAGGAGCATCAAATAAAACCTAAGAAAATATCCTCTGTATGCCCCACTCCTTTTTTCTTTTTTCTTTTTAATTGCTTCCCTGGTGAAGGTTTTGGAAATACACATTCTTGCCTGGTTGCTTTACCCATGACTCAAAAAGTGATTCAGAAAGCTCGCACTTTGGTAAGAAAGACAGTGAGCGACTTCAGAGTCTGCAGAATAGCAAAGATTTACGTTTGCAAGGCTGGATGGAATTGTACCTGCCTCGCTTTCTGTTCTGCAGCCACCGTGGAGAACAACGTAGAAGCGAAGACTGCAAAATGCTTAGGCCCTGCCTCTCTATGGCTTTGTCCGAACCCACACAGACCTGTCCCTGGCTTTCCAGACCTGGGATCTATTGCAGAAATTTTCCTTCTGGCTCACGTGACATCATTGGATTCTTCCTGAGAGAAAAGCAAGGGAACGTGGTGAGGGAGTGAAATAAAGGAAGTGTGAGGAATCGGACAAAAAATACAACCTCTGTGCACAGAGAAAAGAGCTGAGATATTAAGATTTATATTCTTGGCAAATTTATTTCCAGGATTGCTAAAGTACACCTTTCCCTCTCAGTTTGCATAATCTGCTCCCAAACACGCAGAAGCAAGCTTTTGAGTTGAAAGACATTCTTTTTCGTCTAGTCTTTGCTGTAGGAGAGGGAAGCTGGGGTGAAGAATAACTTGTTTTAGCAATAATGAATGGTTCTGATGATTTCAAACCATACACCACCAATTCCCTAGTTCCACTGAATTTCTTAGGTATTAGAACCAGTCAGCACAGAGTGCTCAAGAAAAGCTGCAACTACAACACAATGCACATAGCAACTCTCTTCTCCAGACTGAAAATTGTTTTTCTAAGCAACTGCCCTACAATAAGCTAGTTTATATTACAAATATTTTAAACATTTTTCCCACATAACTGGGTTTTGGGCCCCAAAAAAGATGAACTAATTTTAGAATTTATATTAAATAATATGCAGAGGATGTATAAAGCTTCCATATAAAGCTATCACATGCCTAAACCACAATATGACAACACTCTCAGGAACAGAAAAAATACCAAAAATTATCCCTTATGTTTGTAATAGTTGTCTCAGGAAAAAACCCTATACGTAATAAAATACAGTCTACATTGTGAGAAATGTCGCAGTAAGGTTCCCTTCAAGAAAGATCTACACATACATTAGGGTGCCACTTTTAAGGCAGAAGCAGAACATTTTGTAATGTTGCCATGATTTGCATTTGTCCCTTTTACAGAAGTAAAGACCGCATTAGCTCACGTGCTTGGTTTCTGCATCTCAGTACTTGACAGCACGGCCTGCTGTGCTGGGAACACTCTGTTGCCATTTAAAACACTTCCTTATTACTGTTTAATTCAGATCACAAACACATCTTTGAAGTGAATTTCCCAACCTTCCCCACCTACTCTGCTTTGGCTCATATGGATTGGTCGTAGAGCGCAAAGCTGCCAGAGGAAGCTAAGCCAGAGCCCGCCTAACATACAATTTCAGGCACTAAAAGGTGTCCAGTCATGGGACTGGACAAGAAAGAGCCGAAAACATCTCCTCCCACTCCCAAAACCTGGGCTAGCAACACTCTAAATTTTCGTAGTGCTCCGCACTAGTTGCTTTTGTAGACTTAGCCTTTGCCTCCACGTGTCTAAAATAGGCCTTTTCATTAGCAAAATGTCTGATAGGATTATTCTTAAAACCCAGTTAATTAACATGTTCAATTAAATGTCCTTTACCTAGGCCAAAACTGTGTTGTGGTCTCCGATAAATATTGTATGCCCATGTCATTAAAGCAGTAACAGCCAGTCTAAAAACTTTTTCCCACGCTGAAAGTTACTCAAGGAAGAACCACGCGCCTCCGACAACAGCTTCTGTCAGCAAAGGGAATAAGAGATTTGCAGACAAAGTTTCCTGTCACTTTTCGAAATAAAATGTTTTCAATTGGATGGGAAAAGAAGAAAGAGAACAACTGAAAATCCTTTTTGTGCTGGTAGTTATAATAATGCTTGTTTTCAAAAACTGAGAGATAAAGAGCTAAAATGAATATTGGACTATAAACTCTTTACGCAAACCTAACCACGTCCCTTCAGAACAAGCCACTTCTCAAGTTCATTTCGGTTAGTGCGGCTCTTCAAGGTGGACAAACCAATCCTCCCCGAGCCACGGTCACAGGCCACTGGCGCAGGTTGTTCAGCGCTGTTGCTTGGCAAGGTCTCCAGCCAGATGGGGTTGCTAATGCCTCCTGTAAGGTCTTTAAATCGGAATCTGGTGTAACACGACTGCCATGTTTAATTACTCGAAGTTAATACAGCCTAATGGATATTGTTTGGTATGTAAGAGTCAGAGTTTTTGATGAAAAATACAAAGACAAAATGGTCTTTTTCACATGAATATAAGGACACCAGAGCCTTGATTCTCTGCCCATGTGTAACCTCTCCTAAGAGCAGCTGTTCAGAACAATTATCAGAGCAGAGGCAGACATTTGTTCAACTCACAAAACACTTCTTAGCCACTACGCACTACAATGGATACAGAATTTTACTTGCATTTGTTGAATATATTTTTTAACTATTCAGCAATTTTCTGTAGGTTTGCCTGAATGCATTCAGCTGCTGAAAGGAAACCAGGACACAACCATGATCTTGAATTTTTTTTTTTTTTTTTTCCTCTCAGAAAGATAACATCAAACGTGCTCATTAGCTTCATTTCATTTTGCAAAACCATACTTTTTTGGAGTAGACTTTAAGCTCAGTACTATACAAAAACCATCTTGGATATGCTAAGACTGCAATAAAATCCTGAATTGCAGGCACAAGAAGATGGTAAGCTACTTGCTGCTGCTATTAATGGAAAATACTATGAGAAAACTAGACCCCTTTTGAAAACTTTCTTTAGGACCTATTTTTGGGTAAAGCAGTTTTTCTCCTAGGTCACTAATCAATGCCTGTGAACAGTCAAAACAGCTTTTGTTCCTTGACCAGTGAAGCTACCTTCTCGGTTGTAGGACAGGAGACACCAAAGCGATCAACTTTGATCGTGTTGACAGTCCCTCGGCAGTAACAAGGAACCGCGAGTGCTCTGGGGGGTTGGACCGTCTCTGGACTGGGAACCCAGACAGCGGGCCGAACACAACCCTGAGCTATTATTATTACCGATGACAGTGGTTATAGATAATACAAGATAAAATAATCCAGGTTTAGATTTTTAACGTTTATTAAAAAAGCAGGATGTATGTTCATTTCAAATTAAACAGTTAAAAATGTTAAAGCATACAAACAAATCAATTGTGTACTAGCAGCATCCGTTTGTTAGAATTTTCTAGAACTCCTCAGTACAGTCTTGGCAAGCTAAAAATATTACAACTTGCAACCAACTGACCTCACCATAGTGCAGATAAAACAAACTTTATAAAAACAACAATTTAAGGTTAAATAAGCTTAAATAAAGGTGTTAAATACAAGACACTTGATCAAAGCTTCTGTACAAAGATAAACAAATTTGGCATTGTACAATTGATTGGCTGGCTCACACCATACATGATTTCAATAGTTAAGCGGTGTAACTGTTTAGCTGAACATCAACTATACAAAAGTAACTGAAGTTGGGAGTGGGCTAACCCCAGTGAGCCATTTACAAGGCATGTGTACTTTTAGAAAATCAGAACACTGTTTATATTCAGGCACCATTTGTTCCTGCAAATAAATAATCTCTAATGTATCTGCATCCAAACTAGTGTTAAACACATCAGTGCTAACATTTTATAAACACAGCTTTGTGACTATTCACTATACCTCCATTCTTATTGCTATGACAATATGTGGACTGTGGAAATAAAACTACTGTACATACAAAAAAATAGAGCACCTTTTAAACATTAAAGTATATGTCTGGTTATTCTTTTTATCTTACAATACTGAAGCCCAAGCTAATGTAAATTGCTTTAACATCTTCACCAGCGCACCTGAAATGCAGGAACTAAACCCCCAAATATTCCTCTTCAGGCAAGCCCCAGCCAGAGCATCTTCTAAAAATGTCCAAAAATGACACTAAGGATTTTTTACATTCATCTGCACACAAACAACTATCTGCTATTCTCTGCTTTCTTCATATGAATTTAAAGACGGATTACCACAGCGCTCTCTCCTTTTTCAAATGAATAAAGCTGGATAGAGAATGTAGCAGAAACACCTAAAATGGATTGTGAACACAGTGAAATTATTACCCCGCTAATTCAAAAAATACAGCCGTTACATTGTTCAAATAAGTATTTTCCAGGGGCCCAGTCATTCGGACTTTTTGTCTATCGTATTGAAAAACCATTCTGTAAATTTCCTCAGTTGAGCAGCTGCTGTTTGAGACTCCTCCTGAAGTCTCATGTTATCTTGTCTTAGATGCTGTACCTCTGCTTGGAGAACTGCCTTGTCCTGTTTTTCCTGGTTAACAAAGGTACAAGTTGAATAGAGTGAGTAGTTGTGATGACAGCATTTATTGTTGTTGTTAATATTTCTGTGCAAGTCATACAGCTATATTTTGTTGAGCTCCCTAATCCATTCTGACAACTACTAACTGTAAGTTAATTCCCCAAATATGCTCCACCTACCTCATTCATTCTGAGAAAATATTACAAGCTAAAGAAAAAACTGGATGCTGCTTCAATATAAAAATTAAAGGAATTTACTCCATTTAACAAAAATTTCAAGCACTAGAAGGATAAGAAGCTTTTAGCTATTACAAATCATATGTGAGAGCCAATGTCACAAGGATTTGATTTCAAACATATGTTAAGGAAGAAAAATGTCTTATTTAAAAATTTCCCCTTACATTATTATTTTCTTACCAAAAGCAGTCTCATTTCTACCAGTCCTCGCATTGTCTCCAGCTCAGAAATTAGACAGCAAATGAGACACAAAGCGAGTCATTGCTACATGATCAAAATACCATAAGGCAACAAGGATGACAAATCTGGAGCGTGAACTACTTTGCAATAGTGCCTGTGTCCGTATCCCTAGCCTCTGTTAAATCCAAGGTACCATCAACGGAGACAAATCACCTCATTCTTTCTGGGGTATGACTCTAGGCAGGACAGCTATTCTGGAGTAAACACCCATAAACTAGTTAGCAGCTTGTTCAGGTAACCATTCCCACAGGACCTTCTGCACCTCAGTGTTCTGATCAACCACTGGGCTCTACCATTCATTAATTACACTGTCTAGTTTAACTGATGTATTTTCTTCAAGCCCTTGACGAACTCTGTGTAAAAATACAACTATTAAAACTGGAGAGTAATAATATGGCTAATGATGTCTTACCTTTCTCAGGTCGGTTTGTAGTTGCCGGAGGATGACTTCTAGTTGGTTTACTTTTCCAGTCAGAGTACTTGGAGCATGTTCCCTGTAAAGTAAACCACTACCTTCACTCTGTGTTAGTTAAAAACATTTTCTCCCCCGGCTTTTGCCAAGTAACACTTTTAGTGATAACAAAGGAAACAAATCAGTTTAGGCATAGCAAAACACAAGCAAAACCAGCATCGGCAAAAGACTATTACTGGAACACAAACCCACTGCTGCAATATCTGAAGTACAACGCTGCCTCTCACGCAAATCAGGCAGAAATTACAATGATTTTAGGAAGGAGTATTTTAGGAATTCTTTGCACATACCCTCACAGTGCAAGTCAAACTTGTTGCTAGATGGTGTGCCCAGCACATTTGTTTACAAGCTGCTTTCTGATAAGGACTGTACTAATCTGAAGCAAGCTGCTGCAGCAATTACTGTAAACCAAAAGAGCTGCTAACAGTTCTGTTGTCCGGTCTGCAGTTGTGCCATTTCCAGTAAAGGATAAACCTATGGCTTTATGGAGGCAAATATTTAGTTTAAAGGTCAAAACATGTGAAATATTGCCACAGGTTAATCAAATGTGTGTCTGAAGGAAAATACTGAGAATAGCTTCTGTTTCCTGTATGGCAATGAGCGCTGTGGGAGACAGTTTCATATACGTTACAGACGAAATCAGCCATGTGAATCATTTTGTCTAGAAGAGAGAAGCTGAAGAGAGAATCGTGATACAAAGCTGAATCAGCTGCTTCATGCAAGTGCACAAATCTGACAGATTTGCCAACGCTAAAAGTGGAACATCTTTAACAGTCTTTTGCAATCCTTACTGATCACTAGGCTGGGGAAAGATGTGGACTTAGAACTCATTACAATAAATGCGCTTTACCATGTAAGTAAGTTAATTTGTAGAAAATTGGTTCAAATTAAAATGTGATAGTCTAACAAGCAAGAAGCCTTTTCCCTCCATTTCCTCTTCTTCTGTTCCTCCAGCTGAAGAGCAAAACTAATCAAAGATGTGTTTTTCTTTTAAAGCGTGCTAGTGGACAGATTATACTGCTGAATCTCTGTGTTTTTAACAAGTGTAGTCCCTACAGCAGGGAAGACAGTGGGGGAAAAAAAGAAAGAATTATCTCTCCCAGAACACTGGGAAGAAATTGAAGAATTGGGCAGTCTAGCAGAAAAGTTTCCTGCAGTCCTCATTTACAGGTTCTCTTGATTAATTTACCTCTGTATAAATGAAAAATTATGGATTTGTAAGTAGAAATAAGTGCAAAATATAGGTAGGAACACCTGTTCCAAGGTCTGAGACATTTGCTTCAGATAAGGTTATTGCATACTACAGCGTTGAGCTCCTGTTATCGGTTCTCTTCAAATAAAAACAGAAATAAGCGTAACACAAATTATCATTGTATAGGAGGAATACAGTGAAAAATTTGATTAGCTGAAGCTTTGCACCTAACCAGACTGTGCATTACAGGCCTATGCTAGTGAGAGAGCTTTGTTTGGCTATACTACAGATTTTCTAGATAGAACTCCTCACAGGTTGATTCCAAGAAACAACATTTTTCAAAATTAAAGACAAGATGTGATTAGTCAAGGCAACAGGTCTGCCATCAAATAGTGAAACAGACATACAGACAATCTGACATGCAACATTAAGAGAAAATAATTTTTCCTATTTTTTTTAAGAAATATGCTTTAATTCTGACATACCCAGTAGCTTCAAGAAAATCTTTTCCATCTGTGGGACTCTCGTCCAAAGGTAACTCTTGTGTTCCTTCCAAGCCCCGAGCTTGCTGCATATCATTCAAGGTGCAAAAAGATGCTACTCTCTGATCTGCAAAAAAAGTAACGTAAGGATGTGTTTAAAGCTGGACATATATACAAAATTAAAGGCTATATTACAGCCATTATCCTGGTTCAGTTAAAGAAATGGATGTAGGTTTCTACATCACAGCTTTGAAGATAAACAGCAGATGTAAAGTAAATTCCAGCTAGTTGGCTTCCCCACATCTGCATCCAAAGGCAACCCCAAAACAATGTTTTGTGTCTATCAGCAGAGTAAGACAGATTTGTTTGGACCAGTTAATGCTGATATGAACAGTAAATTGGTCTTGATGAAATCTGCAGAAAACCATTTGAGAATTCAGGGCCACAACCAGTGACAATAATAATTCAGTGAAAAGGTTTGCATTTTCCAGGGACTTAGAGAGCCATCAGATTCTTCAGAAATCTGCACTGTTCATTTTGCACTGTTTTACTGTCTCAAGCATTTGCAGAACCTACTGGTAATCTGCATACTTGAAATAAATTCACACTATTTTTAGCAATTGAATTTTTCTTATGTGTATATATATTACTAAGGCACACTCTCTACATTGGATACTACTAGAACATAATCTAACAAGCACAGATGTAATTACCTATGGATATACAGTGTGGTTGCCAAAATACATCAGTCACCACATAATAGAAGTATGCCATGCAGATCATCATTGCACAGGAGTAAATGATGCATTCATTAGGATTTAATTTGTCTTCTTAAAAAAAAATAATCCATATTCTGTGGACATTGATTTAACTTATATCTGTCAAACAAAATCCATGTCTGTAGGCTTGTGTAAATTCTGGCGACATGCCTGCCTTGCCCTTTCTCCCCTTGCTCTACCACCCCACAGGCCCGAAGCTTGCATTATCATGCAAACGTGCAAACATAGGAAATATTAAAGAAAGTTTACAAAAGGCAAAAGTCATCAATCCCAGACCATCACCTAGAAACGGCGTGTGATGACAGAACGGCCCAAATTCTTCATCTGAGTCAAAACCTGGAATAAGATTTAGAATGTTCCTATAAACAAGACAGTCCATCTCCACTGGAGCAGCTGTGGCCCTCAAGTACAGCGCACACAGTGGAATACTCCCCGTGCAACTCATGCTGGCTCTCACTCTCAGCCTTGCAACGCCATTTTTACACACCACCACCATCACAGTAAAGCATGAGGCGTCATGCCTCGTGTCTCTAATAGTAGTACCCAGTATGGCGACACAGCATGACAACTTGGCATGATTCATAAAAAGACAACCCTCCAAACTCTAAGCACCCAAACAGTGAATATAGGCCAGATCATTTTAACTAGGAAGGAAATTTTGGTTTAAAAATTCTACCAAACAAAACTAGGAAATCACTAAAATGCTCTTGAAAGGGATTTTTCAAATGAGTGGTTTTAAGGAATAGCAAAGATTGCCAATTCACTTTACAATATAATGAAGAAAAGTTGCATGTCATTTTTTTGTCCAATTTTAAAGACCACAGCTCATATTCCCTGTTTTTATGTCTGACTCATGATGGATCTCAGCAAATATTAACATGACTTTTTCATATGTGCTGACAATAAGGTAAGAATATAATTTAAACACATAATCAATGATGACATCATTTACAGATTTGAAACTTATTAAGTTGAATAGAATTACACAGTACAGATAAATTAAAACTAGTTTTCCAACTGAAACACAGTATGTAGGCCAGAAATGAGACTGGGTAAACAATCAGTTTGAAGTACATATCTAATTATTGATTTCACCTTTATACTGTTCACATTTTCATTACCACTTGATAGAAGAAAACAAAGCCAGCAAGAAATGTTACACTGTTGCTATTTTTTCTATGGCCAACAATAGGTGACATGTGACATTGTGTCTTGGAGGCAATTCTATTGTAATATAAAAAAAATCTGCCTTTTCCTCCCTCTGCCAAGTAAACTTAAAGAGAATGGCCACTTGTCTGGTTTATTTCATCAGTTGAGAAAATATTTTGTCAGTTTGTTTGCCCCAGCAGTATTTGAGCATCTTTTTCTTGATGGGTAAAAGCAGGTGCAAACCCAGGTACATCCAGCTGTTAAGGAAATCATATGATACCACTTTTTTAAACACAATATTTTAAAATATTTTGATATTATTTCCACACACAACAAAAATATAAAAACGTGGGTGCTTGCAATGAAGTATAATGTGTGGATTAACTTTTTCTTCCTTGTGTAATCCCTAAAGAAATTTCAACTCCAAGCAATTTAAAAATAATATTAACACTTAGAGTAGGAAATTATTTGTTAACCTTTTCTATTTTCCTAGTATAACTTAAACATATTTTTCTAATATTCATATCTTTATAAAATACAAAACCATAGCCTCACATTTGTCAGATAAGGAATAAAGTCTCTACATGGCCACCAATAACCAGAAGTCTCCAATCATATAACATAGTATGTCAATTCCTACTCTTCAAAGAGTAGTTCCTTAATTTTCAAAAGCCAGGTCAGTGTCAAAATCATTTCAACCTGAATTGTAGTGAAGGTTGAACTTGTGCTTCAAAGAGCAAAATTT